AAGAGAAAGAGTGAAAAGAAATTTTGTCATAAACGCCCACAAGAATCGTTGGTGAAAACCCGATGATCCATTGGGACAACTGTTTCCTAAATAATGTAACACATCCTCAACATTGAAATCAAAACTCAATGTCGTCAAGGAAAAGAAAACCCAGGTAAATTAATCTTAATCGCACTCTAGAAACGTACCTGAAACCAGGAGCATCAAAGGAGTGAGCGTTTCCTTAACACAAGGAACACCCGCCATAACATACCTTGTGTCTACTCAAGTAATGGAAATAGGTCACATATGTAAATATAATATATTCAAATCAGGGAATGACGACGATCTGAAAGTGGCAATATATCTGACAGGTAACAAAGCATATCCATATACACTTAAAATAGAAATATCTGAATACTTTCAGATGGCTGCATTTTGCTCAAGATTTTGTACTGATAGGATAGCCCAGCTATGAATTATTAATGAAACCTCGTAAAGTCGGTTCTTGCTCATCAATGAATCACTGACCGTCCGTCTTATCGGGAAGTTAAAGAAAATGTCTCTGTGTGACATTTAGTTTATAAATGAAGTAATTGATTCATAATTAAAACATGTATGTGATGTCGGTCAAAAGACAGGAAACAATTATAATCAATGGGGGCCATGACAAGGACTATTTTAATTTTACAAACATAATATTGTACTCCCTCCCAACACACATAATATTATACTCCCTCCCAACACATATAATCTTATACTCCCTTCTAACATACATAATATTATACTCCCTCCCTACACACATAATCTGATACTCCCTCCCTACACACATAATATCATACTCCTTTCCAACACATTATCTTATACTCCCTCACTACACACATAATCTCATACTCCTTCCTACCACATTATTTTATACTCACTCCCAACACACGTAATCTTATACTCTCTCCCAACACACATAATCGTATACTACCTCCCAACACACGTAATCTTATTCTCTCTCCCAACACACATAATCGTATACTCTCCCCAACACACGTAATATTATACTCTCTCCAACACACTCCCTCCTAACACGCATAATATTATACTCCCTCCCAACACACATAATCCTATACTCCCTACCAACACACATAACATTATACTCCCTCCCAACACACATAATCTTATACTCTCTCCCAACACACGTAATCTTATACTCTCTCCTTACACACATAACAGTACACTCCCTCCCAACACACATAATATTATAATCCCTCCCAACACAAATCCTATACTCCCTACCAACACACATAACATTATAATCCCTCCCAACACACGTAATCTTATACTCCCTCCCAACACACGTAATCTCATACTCCCTCCCAACACACATAATCTAATACTCCCTCCCTACACACGTAATCTTATACTCCCTCCCAACACACATAACCGTATACTCCCTCCCAACACACATAATCTTATACTCTCTCCCAACACACGTAATCTTATACTCTCTCCCAACACACATAATCGTATACTCCCTCCCAATACACATAATCGTATACTCCCTACCAACACACATAACAGTATACTCCCTCCCAACACACATAACGGTATACTCCCTCCCAACACACGTAATCGTATACTCCCTCCCAACACACATAATCTAATACTCCCTCCCGACACACGTAATCTTATACTCCCTCCCAACACAAATAATATAATACTCCCTCCGAACACGCATAATATTATACTCTTCCCAACACACATAATATTGTACTCCCTCCCAACACACATAATATTATACTCCCTCCCAACACATTTAATCTTAAACTCCCTCCAAAAACACCCAATCTCATACTCCCTCCCAACACATAATCTTATACTCCCTCCCTACACACATAATCTCAAACTCCTTCCCAACACATTATCTTATACTCACTCCCAACACACGTAATCTTATACTCTCTCCCTACACACATAACATTATACTTCCTCCCTACACATATAATCTTAGACTTCCTCCAAAAACACACAATCTCATACTCCCTCCCAACACATAATCTTATACTCCCTCCCTACACACATAACTTTATACTCTCTCCCAACACACATAATCGTATACTCCCTCCCAACACACGTAATCTTATACTCCCTCCCTACACACATAATATCATACTCCTTCCCAACACATCATCTTATACTCACTCCCAACACACGTAATCTTATACTCTCTCCCAACACACAATATCTCATATTCCCTCCCAACACACGTAATCTTATACTCATTCCCAACACATCATCTTATACTCACTGCCAACACACGTAATCTTTTACACCTTCCCAACACACATAATCGTATACTCCCTCCCAACACATGTAATCGTATACTCCCTCCCAACACACATAATCGTATACTCCCTCCCAACACACGTAATCTTCTACTCTCTCCCAAAACACAATCCCTTTTACTCCCTACCAACACACATAACAGTATACTCCCTCCCAACACACGTAATCTTATACTCTCTCCCAACACACATAATCGTATACTCCCTCCCAACATACGTAATCTTATTCTCTCTCCCAAAACACATAATCGTATACTCCCTCCCAACATGCGTAATCTTATTCTCTCTCCCAAAACACATAATCGTATACTCCCTCCCAACACACATAATCGTATACTCCCTCCCAACACTTGTAATCTTATTATCTCTCCCAACACACATAATCGTATACTCCCTCCCAACACACATAATCGTATACTCCCTACCAACACACATAACAGTATCCTCCCTCCCAACACACGTAATCTTATACTCTCTCCCAACACACATAATCGTATACTCCCTCCCAATACACATAATCGTATACTCCCTACCAACACACATAACAGTATACTCCCTCCCAACACACGTAATCTTATACTCCCTCCCAACACACATAATCTAATACTCCCTCCCAACACACATAACCTTATACTCCCTCCCAACACACATAATCTAATACTCCCTTTCAACACACATATTCTTATACTCCCTTTCAACACACATAATCTTATACTCCTTCCCAACACATATAATCTTATACTCCCTCCCTACACACATATTCTTTTACTCCTTCCCAACACACATAATCTTATACTCCCTTCCAACACACATAATCTTATACTCCTTCCCAACACATATATTATCAAACTCCCTCCCAACACACATGCTAGTATAGTCCCTCCCAACACACACAATCTTATACTCCCTCTCTACACACATAATATTTTACTCCTTCCTAACAAACATAATCTTATTCTACCTCCAAACACACATAATCTTATTTATTGATACTTGCTCCCAACATGTATGGTTATACCCTCTTCCACGCACGCATAAGGTTATACTATTTCCTAACAACTCAAGAAAAGATCTCAAGGCCAGGACAAAATGAAAATATATAAAATACAGCGGCAGCACCCATTGAGAAAATCGAAACTCGTCGATGTTAAGTGAAAGAGTGAAAAAAAAAATTGTCATAAACGCCCACAAGAATCGTTGGTGAAAACCCGATGATCCATTGGGACAACTGTTTCCTAAATAATGTAACACATCCTCAACATTAAAATCAAAACTCAATGTCGTCAAGGAAAAGAAAACCCAGGTAAATTAATCTTAATCGCACTCTAGAAACGTAACTGAAACCAGGAGCATCAAAGGAGTGAGCGTTTCCTTAACACAAGGAACACCCGCCATAACATACCTTGTGTCTACTCAAGGAATGGAAATAGGTCACATATGTAAATATAATACATTCAAATCAGGGAATGACGACGATCTGAAAGTGGCAATATATCTGACAGGTAACAAAGCATATCCATATACACTTAAAATAGAAATATCTGAATACTTTCAGATGGCTGAATTTTGCTCAAGATTTTGTACTGATAGGATAGCCCAGCTATGAATTATTAATGAAACCTCGTAAAGGCGGTTCTTGCTCATCAATGAATCACTGACCGTCCGTCTTATCGGGAAGTTAAAGAAAATGTCTCTGTGTGACATTTAGTTTATAAATGAAGTAATTGATTCATAATTAAAACATGTATGTGATGTCGGTCAAAAGACAGGAAACAATTATAATCAATGGGGGCCATGACAAGGACTATTTTGATTTTACAAAAATTACTTAAACACATATCAAGGTAATGTAGAGAAAATACTGGGCACTTATAACTCATCATTCAAACATAGGTTTGTGTTTACTTTTCAGACTATACAGTCATACATGGATGAATGTAGGAGTGGATATATTTGTCATAAACGAATGTATTCTTCTGGTTAAATGACAAACGCCCAACCAATGTTTGTGTGGACGTATGTGGGTGTAGAAATAGGTGGCTATGCCGGTATGTACGTGGATAATCCAATACAGTTGTTTAAGTATGGGGACTGGGTCTGTCTGTTTAATTAATCGACTGTGGGGGCCAGACCGACACTATTGATTTACCTTGTTACCTTACTTAACTCATCGCTATATTTAAATTATCAGTTGTGATTCTGTACTAGTACATGTACACTAGTCACTACGCGAGGAAAGCATATACTTTATATATATATAACCACATAGTAAAAGTAAGGGGGATTAATCTCAACATTATCTACATGAGTAATACACGTTTATTAATGAGCCACATGGCTATACAGAAAGTAGGACGAAGGAAGGGGAAATAAGCACTTTAAGCAGTATACACATGTACATTGTAACGTGTGGCTTATATGTATGTTGTGTATGCAATTTGATTACACCTCATGCATTAACACTTCATTGAAAACCCTGTACATATATCCTATAGCTATGTATGGGTGTAAGATAGTCCACTGACCGCACTCTTTTCAAATAGGTTATTTTTCTCTACAGTAGTGTAAAGGAATGCGGCGAACATCCACACAGACACACGCTGGTACGGGTTGAGCGAGACACAAAAGTACATGTACACAGCTGATAAATAAGAGTAAAGATAAAGATTATAAAACACAACCTACCTGACGACCGTCAGCTTTGGGTGGGTCCTTGAACAGCTGACTTGGGTAATCCTATCGCCGGTTATATTATATATATGTTATTGCAAAAAGTTAAGAGTTTATGAAAAGCTGTCAAATACACACTTGTCTACTGCACACCTGTCAAATGCACGCGTGTTAAATACACGCCTGCCAAAAACACACTTTCCAATACACACCTGTGACGAATTTAACCAGGTAACCACAGGGTATAATAAACACTTCCTTCAAATGTTATGAAGTATTACGGCAATCGTTGTCTGAGTCTATGGTCACGCATGCCTTGAATTCCTGTCATTGCCGCGCGTATTAACAATGAAAGGAGTCGACTGTCATCCTTTATTCCAGCCCACCAGTCTGTTTAACCACTAACCTCTCCTGATGCCTATAGCTAACAGCTACCAACAAATGTAACCAAGCGAGTCGGTTTCGACTATCCGATTCTCCTGATAAAATTGATTCACGCTCGTACACTCATTACAAGGACGAGAAGAGTTCTGTTGGTTGTGGGGGTATTGGGGAACATGGCCAGCCAACCAACGATTCAGAAGACCGTAGGCCATACACACTACTTAGTAACAGACTCAATATAACGTTTGATGTATAATGGGTATATAAATACTCCTTCGGGAAACTCGGCATTAGCAGAACACAGTAAAATAATATGTGATGGCATTTGCAGGCGATGAACAGTAAAACATTCCATCAACGTTTTGGTCTCATTCACTCAAGTATTTAGACTAATTTCTATCTCAACTCGAATCAACTATTTCCTGTTCCTGTAGGGTTTAGGGGCGACGTGCTTGAATATCCACGCTGCTATACATACACTCTGTACCTCCTATGAACTTGTATGGAAGTTTAATACCATTAAGCTGTCCATTATCTGATCATCAATGACTGTTCTAATATATTGGAATTAATAAAGCTTAACCTAGCTCTCATGGGCAATATATAGATACGAATAGCTTAACTTCTGTTATTAAACTATGCATTATTAAATATCGATACAAGAATGTTTGTATCATAACGAATTTTATGATAAAAGTGCTAAATTTGAACTTTAATTTAATATCTCATTATATTCGTTATTTAGCGTATTTTAACCAGAGACGTATATATGTCTCTGTTTTAACCTACACACTTTCATTTAATTTATTCTACCGAGTGACATACTAATCATATGCTGGAATCATTTTATGTAAATTTGTTTCAATAATTGTTGTCAGATTAACTCATGAATTAGGTCATTGTATACCAAATACCTTTTAATCTAATTATATATTACGTAACAGGATTAACTGGTCTTACCAGGTCGGACACTGCATTCAGTCTCAGACAAAGGACAGCTAAATTGGCTTACCTGGTCGGGTACGGCCTCGTCTCAAAGGACAATTGCTGTGACTGACAGATGTCACTCAAACTAACAACCCTATTTGTATTGTGTAAATGTACTTTATGACATGATTATGCTTGGAATATCAGGTAGGACCTAGGCATCGGACGGTACGGATGTGTTTTTGGATACTCCAGACATCACCCACCGACCTAGAGAAAGTTATTCTAATAAATTTATGTTTGGACCATACAACATCTCCAGAACGTTTACTTTTCAAATTAGATAACAACAACCCACAACAGTGATGTAGTATTTAATATTAATATACAAAAACTTTATTTATTTTACAACAGTTATGAAACAAGTTATTTCAACTTATATTANGGGGGGGGGCTTAGTGTGGGAGGCAACCGGAGTACCCGAAGAAAACCCATGTGGCCCGGCAGGTGTCCCCAACCTTTTCATGTCCGATCGGGGAATCGAACCCCGGCCGCCTTGGTGAAAGGCAAGTGCGCTATCAACTGCACCATTGCTGGCTTTCGGTATTAGCTGCGAGTCTAACTTGTAATGGGTATTGATTGAGAAGAGTTTCATATTCTACTCATGCAAAGCGACGTATGATTCTCAGAATATACTGGTGCAAATCAAACAGGATTATTTTCAGAATCTACTCATTCAAATATATCAGAACTTTTCCAAAATCTACTCATGCAAATCTATGAGAAGATTTTCAGAATCTATTCATATACATCTCTCGGGGGATTTTCATGATATACACATGTAAAACTATTCAAAGGTTACCGGATGTACTCATGCAAAGAATCCTGCCATTGTTATCACAGGGTACAGGTGCAATCTGTGCATGGTATTATATTCTGCGATGCTTATTGATTTTTAAGCTGGTTTTAGTGATGAGTTGTAATATTGCTTTATTTTATCAAGCTATTTCAGTAACCCAACCTATCAGCCACGCTTGTCGCGCACATGTATTAAGAGAGGGAAAGTAGGTCAAGAGATACAATGACAGCTTATTTTTGATCATAACGATTGTGATGGAATTATGAAAGCATCGCTGAACATCAGCATGCGACCCGTGTGAATAGATACATAAAGTGAAAAAAGTGATGAAACATTAACAAACAAGGAACAATAATGTAAATAAACGTTTTACAACGGAGCACACATTTAGTAAGCGAACGCGTTGATATTTGAAACATACACCTGTACACACGTAATGGCGCTTGTATAAATGCGCAATGAGAATAGACCTGTATTTGAAATCGGTGATCATTTTGGCTGAGGATTTTTACCCCTGTGGCGGTCAATCGTTGATTTTATGGGTCATGGAGCACACACTTACTGTGCAGTTGCGTGAACTTTTAAGGCGGTCAATCGTTGATTTTATGGGTCATGGAGCACACACTTACTGCGCAGTTGCGTGAACTTTTAAAGGTGCAACTTTTTCATGTATAGTCGTCTACCGTGTATATGCACGATAGGAAAATAGACTTTTTGTGATATAAAGGTAGAAACCGGAGATAAGTTTAGAAATGGTACAGTTGTGGGATCGCACAACGTTACACGATGTGCGTTGTGCGCGCGATGTGCGCATAGTGTATGCACGATGTGTGCACGATATGCGAACGATGTGTGCACGATGTGCAAACGATGAAATTCTGGACGCATATTTGTTCGGACGGTGGGTGAACGTTGTGCGATGACAAAGATTAACCAAGATGGTTGGTGTAAAATGAGAAAAGGCTTAACAATATATATGGTTTTGTGTTGAAACATGTAATCTTGATTTTCAAGTGTATATTCTAATTACATATATATAGATATGTTAATCTTTCTATCTGTATTTTTTATTCAAAAATAGTGTTTTCGGTGTTTTTTAAACGACACAAATCGGTACATGTAAAATAACACATATAGACATGCACAGTCCCATGTACATTTTGTAAACATAGAGATATTGTAACTGTACCTGTCTCGTATTTTTCCCCACCCGGGGCACTTACGTAACTCGCCAAGGTGTGAAAATCCAGATAAAAAGGAGCTATAGACCGAAACGGATACAAATAACAAAACCTAACGTCCAGTTTTTATAACGGGTATCACTTATCAACTCTTTGTCAGGCACAGGCCAGGTAAAACTTCGGTCAATCATCAAAATGTTATTTACCTGTTCAGTTATGCGGGAGCCAAACCCATTATTGACAGCCTAACGGTCACTGTAATGCTATGTAACACGCATTGTAAAATTTAACGTAATCCTTATGAATTCGACGTTTTTTATATACAGTGTTCCTTATTCCAAACAAGAGGTCCGGATTTTTTCCCCGTTATATTGATCCACCAATTGTACCAAATCGTACATTTGTACGGTGAGAAGTGCACAACAGGGCGAACGATTGTTAAATCACACATGTACAGTTGTGCGCACCATGTGTGGACGATGTGCGGATGGTGTGTGCACGATGTATGTACGATGGGAACACGCTGTTTTGTTGCGTTGTTCGGTTACACAACTGTATTTATGAAGGGTAAACGTATTCGGTCAATCGTTAGTTATGGTTTTAATAGCTTTCTTTCAAATTCCTACTCTGCTTGTATTTCTTTGGTGAAATGAACCATGAAGATGTTTCTTTAAATTTCAAGTAAAATTTAAATTGATGGTAATGAGGAACGTTGAAATAGAACATTTGTCAGAATGGCAATACTGAACAGCAAGCCTGCATGACCATTAGTGGTAAATACAATGTATGATACTATCTGTATACAACGTTATTAAAGTTTCCAATTGTTTGTGTGTACGGTAATGTGGCTAAACATAGCTCTGTGAACAAAAGTGTCCCATATAACGTCAGGCCGTTATCACATAACCTTAATTAACCTTCTTTCCTAAACAAACGCTATTGCATGATCAAGTTTTAGTCTACAACCCGTTTGTTGAATGTACCGGTACTCCATTTTGATCTGTTTTATCTCCTCCAGTGCTAGAATAATACACAATATACTGTTGGAAGTTTTCGTGTTGTATGTATATATGACATTATCAAGATCTAGAGTGTATCTAGGATGCATAGGTAAGGAGTTGCAAAATATGTTTAGACTATCCCCCTAAAGCTGCCATTGACAATGTGAAAAAGTGTTATCTTTAGGAGTAGGAGGAGAGTTGAGTGGGCCAGCATACGTAGGGGTCAAAGTGGTCAGTGGTTCTAATTAATGAGTTGTGTCAGCCGCAGCTGTACATATCAGTGAGTGTCTGCGGAGAGTCTGTAGTTGTTTATTTGTTTAAGATTAGGCGTGCAATTTAAATTTTAAGACACATTACTTGGTTCTGGAGATCTTATTAAGTTGTCAATTAAAGCTCGGACCATTAGGGAGAAATGCTGATTGAGAATGGCCAGTGTCATGAAAACAAAGGGTTATCTACAGTGGATATACTTTTGTAGGACAGGTTGTGTGTGTGTGTGATAGAGTTCGGTTTAGTTTGTTAGGTGCACGAGAGAGGATGTAACTATTGGGAGTTGTGGTACAAACGTTGGGATGACAGCATGTGAGCAGTGAAAGGGTTGCAGTGTGCATATGGACATATACCTGTATATATGTATAACGTCACAGTACCCAAATCGGGACACATTTTAGTGAAATAATGATGTATTTCATCCATAGAACCGATCCCAGGAATTGTTGTTCACTTATCATTATCTTTTCATTTTGATAACAAGTTGATGTTTCTGGCGCGTGGTTCTATAAATAGAACTGGAAAGATAGTCATGGTTACGTAATCGCGAAACAGGTGTAGCTGTACCCAAATCGGGACATCCCTACCAGTTTTGGCTTATATTATGAGATGAAAAAAGTATTTAGCAGAACATGGCATATCTTTGGAATATTTAAGATGCAAGGGTCGTTCCGAATGAATTTCTTTTCCAAACTACCATTAGTTGTGATATATTAGGATTGTGAAAAGTCACATACAAATTTGAAAATCATGGCGCATCAATTTAGAACGTGACATTTTCGTCATTATTTACAAACTAAAACTGTGATTCTTCTTCTTTTTCTTCTTCTTCTTATGGTACATGGGCTCCATCAATTGTGATGTTTATGCCCTCGATTGTAACCATAAGTGGCAGTAAATAAAGTCCATACACTGTTTTATTGGTATATAAGCATCTTTAAATCCATATTTTCAATTTTAAAATACTTCTTTGCGCAGCATGCACATTTCTTGTGACTTTTACCTTCATGTGTCCCGATTTGGTTACTGTGACGTTAGATGTATAAATAAACTGTAAACAGAATTCGGTGTATTGTTTCATAATTATGATTTCAAAGCCGAACCATTGGCTCCGTCACACCACAATAAAATAAATTCAACAATGAATGTTAGACTATTTGTATTCTTTTGCTAACGGCAATTTTTTTTTAATGTTATTGACATACATTAGCAGCAATGCTTAAGAAATAATAAACATGTTATTACTTACTGATGGTTTCTTAAATCAGTTATCAAGATTTCGTTATGCTACATATCCTGACCAACCTTGTCCATATCGTTGTTTACATCCTGTTATTTATATGTAGGAAATTCCCGCCAAGCTTACATTAACGCCGTGTCATGTTAAGGTAGTAATAATATTTAATGTCGTTGCTACACTCATAACGTCTCCATTTACACGTCACAATACGCAACTCGAATTTCAATATTGCAGTCCTTTTATAATTCAGAAACCTTTGCATGTTGCGCCAGTCAGTGTTATCTCACACATGTGAATATTCACGATCGAATTACTTTTGAAACAGCAATAAATCAAATGTACACAAGAGGAAATATGACAATTAAAACTCGGTAAAATTAATCATCAACAGATACACATAAGATACAGTGGGCGGATTGGTCGAGTGGTTCGATACCCGAAGTCGTCGTACGTATGGAAAATTCAGAAAATGTGTTTTCTCCTGCCCACACTACTCCAACAACCCAGGTGGAGTATAAAATGATCTGGGGTGGATGTTGCGGTATCTGTGTTGTAGCATTCAAGTGAGGTGGCACTATAAATGATACCGTTAGAAACACGGTCCCACTACAAACAGAACACAATACAAACATAGGGAGATATTAGCCAGGTGGCATAGGACTAGCCTGATAAGGCAGCTCCTGCGAATTCCTCAATATTGTATTGATTAATGTATATGCTAATTGTATTGATTGTATACAATTGTATATCTATGTACTGTAAAGCGCTTTAGAGTGGCTTATGTAAGCTAGATAGGGCGCTATATATGTATTTATTTTTAGTAAAACTGATATTAAGGGAGGACTTAAATGCTAATGAATACAAAAATGTTTTTGATAGTTTAAGCTGAAAATAATTTGCATGCACAACTTAAATGTTACGTTTGCCAATAAGTTGTCCTGTCGAGTATCGATATTAAGTAAGTGGTATATTTGTGTGATAGGTTATTAGTCGTTAAGCAGGGTAGTTCGTCAAAATATGTATCTGAATGACAACTTCCTCAGCACAATAGCCTGTACCAATTGCATACTATTACATAGAATACAATTGAACTTAGTGTCAATACAAGACAATGATGTGATCACCCAAAGAAAACATCAATATCCATAAAGAAAACGTATTGTTGGTACTCCGATCAAAAAAACAACAACACATGTTATTTATCAATAAACAAATTAAACGATTTAATCTCATTATGCAAACACAAATGCATATTAATTTTTCTTGAAACAATACCAGGTTTAGATCCAAAATTCAATTGACCTGAAGCCAGTGCTATGGTAAGTAATACGTTATACGATCAAATGTACAATGTCATGTTGTTTAATGTTATTTGTGAAATCGTCCTCTTTCTCTCCCATTATTTGATATAGCCCACCTCCATTTCCAGTGATAACTTATTCATATTTCACATGTTCGTCAGTTTGGAACGAATTTTAATCAAATACTGCATTTAACGTCTAAAATTCTTCATTTGATTTTGTCATAAATCCATTCTGGAGCACGAAAATGGTGATGATTCCGGGCCCAGATTTAGCATAGGTAACATTTTGCTTAAATGCAAATGATATTTTCTGAGATAAAGCCGCAAAAAATCTGTATATATTTAAAAGATATGGCCTTTGTTGAACATTTAAACACCGTCGTAAACATTTTTGTTTTGATAATGTAATCACAACTATACATTGCAATCCTGATAATATAATTACTGTAATTGTACTTCGGATATATAACTTCCACAAATGGTGTATCGATAATGTGATAACAATTCGAGATAAAAAAAAAAATAACTATGTACTATCAATAAATATCTCTACAACTGTATTAAAGATTAAATAACCCGTATTTAATAATGTGCCCTGATTATGTAAACGCTACTAAAGATAATGTGATCACAGTACAAAGTTATAAAATCACGACGATTGTTCTAAACCTAATGTAATCAATACTGAACATGTGTGCCATTAAATAAATGCATGTCTACTAAACAATGGTATCCTGATAATGTAATCATTATTAAAGATACTGTTATCACGAGTCATTTATGTACTGTAAAGATTATGTAATCATTACTACACATTTGTGCCCTGATAAAGCTTTCACTAGAAAACAATGGTGTCCTGATAATGTTATCATTATTAAAGATTAATTATCACAAGTCATTAATGTACTGTAAACATTATGTAATCATTACTACACATTTGTGCCCTGATAAAGCTTTCACTAGAAACCAATGGTGTCCTGAAACAACAGTATCAGTAAACATTACTTATCAATTAGTAATGAACAGTGAACAAATAAACCTTCCAATTTAAATTCAAAATATTTTGAATTGGGTTATGATTAGAATAGCCTTAAAATCAAAGCACTGTAACTTCCGTACTAGATAATAAACTTAATGAACAACATAATGTCATGGAATGCTGTATGTCGTACGAGCTCATGAAACACGCAATTGCAACATAACCAAGGCATTTCTGTATATACATACAGTCGAATTTGCTCAAGAGACCACCTCTGTTATCTCTCTAGAAGACTTCAAATTTCTAATCCTCTCAAAGCTGTTTGCAACTTATTAATGCTTTACTTAGATAATATATCTGAGGAGACCACTTTTGCGCATTCTCTTGAACGGAACAAACAGTCAGTCAATGAAATGTCATAATTACATTGTATACATTCCTTTGTTCTCTATATAACGATTAACAAATCTATATTTTTGTAACGAATTTGAGGTAGATATGTATTTCACTTTACATTATGTATGCAGTAAACACGCTTACGTCAACGTTTACATTCATGTGAGGTAATTAGCAAGCACCTGGCTACTTATCGTGAAGTGGAGTGGTGTGGTACAGCTTTTTGCGTTAGTGAGAGGAAATTGATAATTGCTTAGATACTTAACGCGGAGTATGTCAGAAGCACAAGGTCAGTGGTAATAGAAATATGCTCCAGAGTAAGGGTAAATACACGTGAAATAATGACTTGATTAATTAAGAGACTGACTCGGATGGAAAGTATGAGAAATTTATCTTAAATAATAATGCAAGAGAATAATCCTAAATACATTGCAATACTGTGAATGGGTGATACATTTCAACCCCATTATTCTACACCTGGATAAGTTTATTCGTGAGAAATAGGTTAAGCACATAAGAGACTCGTTTTTTGACATGAGAGACGGTTCTTTAGGAGTAAAAAAGAACACTATTTTTTAACACGCCACTATTTTACCCACATGATTGCTCTAGACGTAAGAACCTGATTTTGGGGCGAGAAACTAGTTCAGGTGAAAGGAGTTGGTTTCGGTGTAAGAGGAGTTAGTGGAACGGTTTCGAAGACGCTTTCACTGTTGATTCTATGCTCACTCTTCTCAACGTAGTACTTCAAGTAGGCTAATGTACTTTTGCGTCCTTGCTGAAATGGAAAACCAGCTATTTTACAAGTAGCAAATACTTGTGAAGAAAATGAAACACTAAAAAATACCTAAAATGAGATATGGTACAAAGAAAATGCAAATAACTCATCTTTCTCTGTCATCATTATTTTGTTGTGTATACTCAAGATGAAAGCTGATATCTGAGCATCAAGTATTTTTGAATATATCGATGTTAGATTCACCTTAATTTTGTTTTGCATGGAACTGTAGTGTTCATTTTATCTACAACATTGATGCATCGTATAAGGATAACGGCTCGTCTATTCCTAAAATCTCAGAGCTCAAAACGTATTCCAAATCATGTTTATAAAGCAACAACACTATATACACCATCCACATGTCATCCTAACCGTAAGTAATATCACTATTAAACCAACCGAAAGTCAATCTTACCAAAAGCAAGAAATCGATATCCTTTTCTTCCAGGTCATAGTTATTCGATCCAACGTACCCTGTATTGATGCCAACAGTCCGGTCTATATCATAGCCCTGTTCAAATGCAATACTATATAATGTAGCATTATGTATATTAGTGTTACATTCTTGCATGTTTGAAGAAAATAATGATAAATTGTTCCATTCGATAGTTGTATCTCATTGCATGTTGGTATGTAAGAGTAAATGTCTACTGAACAGCTTTATTGTTTACCGGGAGAATCGTACTGTTAAGAAACGTTTTGTAGTTTAAAGCTGCTGTGCGATTAAAATATGTCAGGTTTAAAGGCATACTACACTTCCTTCATGTAAGTAGATACGTAATAAAATGTGTATGGAACGTATGAATACGGACGTAGTTTCGATAAAATATTGAATAACGTCATATTTTGGTATAGTCGATGCAACAGCTGCCCACACGACACCTAGTAGGCTTTTGCTGCATGTATATAAATATCGATGGTTGACCGATTATCAATTTAAAACGGCATTGAAGGATTCCCGTACCACTGCCAAAAACTGTTACTACCCATTAAAAACTGTTACTATCCATTAAAAACTGTTACTATCCATTAAAACTGTTACAAAACTGTTACTATCAGTTAAAAACTGTTACTACCCATTAAAAACTGTTACTTTCCATTAAAAACTGACATGGCTGTAGCTTTGACAAATCATTTCTGAGAAGAAGAATCATACATAACTGGACTTCAATAAGAAAATATAGAGATGAAATCTTCAAAATAAAATCAAAGTCAGTGTTTTGAGTGTAGAACGTTAGCAGGGCTAGACCTTGATTTCGACTTAAGATTGTTATAGCATCGTTCCAAAACCGACTATTCTTCATGACAGCGAAGTTTATTTATAGCCATGAATTAATCAAACTATGTTCACAGCCAGTTTAGGATCTAATTTCTGCTTTCATGGCACGATCGCACCACTTTATTGATTTCTTGGATCAATATTCACACCGCCTTTCAGCAGACTAGCAACAAACTTAGGAAGTTCGGTTCATAAAAGAAAATAATCCACAACATTCAGAAACAGGGGTTATTCCGTCTTTGCGTTTTGCAGAGGAATCTTCTCTTGTGAGCAGGTATTGATTGTTACGTCATTGGTTTGTGTGAGAAAATTACGTCGTTTTCTCAAACATTGATGACTTAACCCTCAGAAACAAATGACGAAACAATCAATTCCTGCTCACAAGAGAAGATAACTCTGCAATACGAAAAGACGGAATTGGTTCCGATTCTTTTGATACCGATTAGGTTATTTAATTAACGTCTTTTTAACAACTAACATAACGTCACTGAACACTAAACGCTCAAAGCTTTATGAAAGACGTCGGATACCAAACGGGAACTTCTACAGCTTGAGATACATAGTCCAAAATACAACTTTTCAAAGAGAAAACAATTGGTATAATATACAATGAAGAGTTTTTTTTAGAAAGAAATGAAGCTATGCTGGTTAAATTAAACAATACAGGGAAGGAGCGACTGCTGAATAGATATAATTGCCACCTGATGATGCACCGTTGTACATTTCCTTTAATCCGAATACGCTGGCAGAATTGTGCAGCAAGGGGATTTTGTAACGACGAAAACATAAACAAAAACAGTTTGCTATGTTGGTACCAACATCGAGGGATAATGCTTTTGACAATAAACCTATACGGAATGGAGTAACTGTTAAGCGTTTTTTGAAAGTACGAGAAAACAGTGAAGCAGTCAACAGTCAAAACTATTTCCAGATGTGTAGAAGCCAGAGGCAGGTCAAGGCCAACATTTCCTCTGGAAGGTCCCAACAGGACAATAATTTAAACTTTTTACCTGATAAGTATTAAACAACTAATTCGTTTCGGAATTAATGAAAACAAAACCTGCACATCAATTTGTTCATACCGTGATATAATGATGTCGTCTGATGAATCGGTTCTAATTTTAAATTTTCTTTTTTTCAGACAAACTTTGATTTGTTTCTGTGATCACAGTCAGCGAATCAGAATTATTCCTGGGTGTAAAATATCTTCGATAACCAGAGGTTACGCTCAGTTTCGCTCTCTACACCCCTGGAATATGTCATAGCAAGATTGAAGGCACGAAGATAGATATCTGTTTGATTGGTCTCAGGTAAAAAAACACACCTGACCAATCGTTAGGCTGATACCTGTCCTTTGAAGATTACAAAGGAGAGACGCCCGACTTCAAAGCCTGTCAATTTTTACCGTTGCGCAATGTACGTGACCGCGAGATTCGTTTGATGTATATCAAAGTATCGAACTAATCTTCTTGTCTCATCAACAAGGTGGCGAACACTGAGCCTTCAATTTTGCTATGATATATTCAAGGGGTGTAGAGAGCGAATGTGAGCGTAACCCCTGGATATCGAGGATGGGCGTAATGTTAACCGTGAGAGTATCCTGGGGAGGCAGTAGAATGTAGAAAAATCACTCTCTAAAGTTCACAAGTCATTTCGAAATAACAAGACAACAATGTTGAGATAACAACCAGTGGAGTTCTATCATCAACATGTTACTGTACCGGTAACTTCCTCGGTGTGTTACTCGCTACTGAATCTACTTCATTCTGAAGTCATTACATTGTATATGACTTTTGACTTCATTTCTACAAAACGCAGCAACTGTAAAATTTCAGTTTTATTATAATAAATGAGTATCTACAAATACCACCGTCATATCACTTTTACAAAATGTGTCTTAAGGCATGTTGTATTATTAGATAAATAGACATTGTGGTCATGTAAACACAATACATAATATTCCACTACGTGATGAAATATCGCCTCCGCTGTCTAGAACACGTTCCTTTAATCTAACCATGTCATATTGTAACCTTTGTAAAAGCTTTTTTAGTTGTGACCCCTAAATATGTTTGACGACTTGTATTGTTGGTGTTGAAATAAAATGTAACAAAAGTGAAAGGGTAGGACTATCAGTAGGCATATATACAACAGATAAATATGGTATTCGATCTGTAAATGTGTCAGGTGAGATTAACGATAATGAAAAGTATAAACAGTGAGATTAACGATTATGAAAAGTATAAGTAGTGATATTAACGATAATGAAAAGTATAAGTAGTTATATTAACAATAATGAAAAGTATAAACAGTGAAATTAACGATAATGTAGAGTATAAACAGTGAGATTAACGATAATGAAAAGTATAAGTAGTGATATTAACGATAATGAAAAGTATAAACAGTGATTTTAACGATAATGAAAAGTATAAACAGTGATATTAACGATAATGAAAAGTATAAGTAGTTATATTAACAATAATTAAAAGTATAAACAGTGAAATTAACAAAAATGAAGAGTATAAACAGTGAGATTAACGATAATGAAAAGTATAAGTAGTGATATTAACGATAATGAAAAGTATAAACAGTGATATTGACGATAATGAAAAGTATAAACAGTGATATTAACGATAATGAAAATCATAAATAGTGTTATTAACGATAATGAAAAGTATAAACAGTGAGAATAACGATAATAAAAAGTATAAACAGTGAGATTAACGATAATGAAAAGTATAAACAGTGAGAATAACGACAATGAAAAGTATAAACATGGAAATTAACGATAATGCACAGATAAACAACGCTTTCACGAACAATGACAATACCTCCATGAATATTCGGCTTGCATTAAGGAAGACAGCGTTGAGACAGGTGGAGAAGAATGAGGTCACCCCGTCTATCTCGTGCCGTTTATAGCCCGTATACAGCTGCTGAAGATCTATACCCTCTCGCTGCTCCACAAACGTCACTAGCTCATCGAACGTCACCTGATTGATAAAACGTGGATAAAAGATAAATATATGGTAAAACTGAAAACGTCATGTATACCAAAATCAAGTTTGAACCTATAATCGGATTTGTTTGATTAAAATCAAGCTCTAATCCAGCATTGATTTTGTCTTGGTTAGTCGTAGATACCGACATTAAGTTCTTACTCAGAAAAGTCTTTGTATGAGTAAGGCGAATACACAGCTATTAAGTTTTTGTTCGGAAACCTTATTGCCTAAGTAACTCATGTTTACCAAATTCAAGTTCTTAAATTGCTTTTAAAAGTATTTATAGATTTTACAGCGAACGGAAGATTGTTCCATAAAAAGGTTATCTGTTTCCCTTTTTATTTTTACCTGCCCATCGCTATTAGCGTCAAGAAGATCGAACGCCTCCACTGCATCGCATTGTCTCCCATGACCAAAAATAATCCGCTTGCTCTTGTTAGAAAACTCTGACTACAGAACAAAAAGGATTTTGATGGATAACACTTCCACAATATGGCCGACTAGTCGATGATCGTTATTGTCAATATTAAAAGCTCATTCATTTTGCTGTTGATGAATGAGTTCAATTTTTCACATTTAATAAAAACAACTAAGATTAGATTTCGACTTTTTACTTCTTCCACACAAACAAAGACAAACTATAACACAGCACCAAAATATATGAATAAGATAGGTCACATCATCAAAATGTAAGAAAAAAATCTGAACAAAATGTCAGTTCGGAAACAGAGGAGGAACCGATGTGAACTTAAACCAAAATTCAGGAAAGCACAAGTGTGCTAAGGTACCAGAGTTAAGAGGATAGATCAAGCACGGATGCAACCAAATCACAGAAGAGCATTGAGTGAGGGTCTGTAAACAAAATAAAAAGAAATACGCGGGACAGTCGTACAATCTCTGGATTGAACATGTCTTAAAACAACAGTTAGCGCGACCGTTGCTGATACTGGTATTTTACGAGGGAAAACAATTGTGAATGACATCACAAGCGCTTTACAGATAAAACGTTGCCACCCACATATTAGCACTAAAGAACGAACTGAAATATCGACGTGAAGAGGTCAAACAAAGTTAACACTTCATTGATGACACATCGTCCTTAAGTTTTCATATTTTATTTTCAAATATTATACTAAGGTACCAGAGCTACTCATTTAACATTTCAAGCTATGAATAAACATCAAACTGACAGTGACATCGGGGAACCGTATAACAAGTTTAAAGAAGAGTTTCGGATTATAAAAAAACGACATTGTGAATAAGAATGACAATTATTTTGTATTACAAATACAATAAACATCATGTCCTAGATCATTTTTTAATAAAATCTATTTGCACCATGCTCCTTTGATTTATTTATACCCGTACAAGTCTATTCAAATGTGATACATTACACGTGTATCATGACAGCATACGATCAAACTTGTCTGTCCCAACATAACACGATATATTACAGTGTACACAAAATTGCCAGTCCGGACACAACACGATATATTAAGTATATAAAAATACATCTGTCTGACATTACACGATATATTATAATATACACAAGCTTGTATCTCTCGACACAACACGATATATTAAGTATACAAAAATATGTCTGTCCCGACATTACACGATATATTTACAATATGCACAAAGTTGTATGTATCGAAATAACACAATATAATAAGTATACACAAATATGTCTGACCCCGACATTACACGAATTATTTACAATATACACAAACGTGTACAATGTATGTCTCGACATAACACGATGTATTACAACACGATATATTACAGTGTACACAAACACTTCCGGAAGGGAAAACGCAATTTATCACATACTCAGCCTAAAACTAATCAACATATGTGCACCTATTGTGTTGGAAAATAAAGTTAGAACGTTAATGGTTAGTAAACACAGGTCCAATTCGGTCTGGGTAATATATTTCTGAAACCGAGGTGATATATTTAAAGAAAATGTTTCTATTTTTGCCTGGTTATGAGTTGATTAATTAAGTTGAGCAGGTGTAAATTGAATAGATGGCGAATTGCCCTTATGATAAATTTACGCATGCCCAACTGAGGTATTACCTCATAACTTGACCAAATTAGAATTCTGCTCTTTATATTAAATGCATTTTGCTGTAAATGGTTAAAAACTATTTTATTCACAAGTCTGATCAGCGGATAAGAAATTAATTTCAAAAGTTATAAACATCTGTGCGATTCAATAAAAGTAACAGTCTAAATTTGTACAAGTCCCCGGTTAACTCCTCCAACATTAATTTCGTCACACAATTGTGTCTCGTTCGTGAAAAATTGGCATAGCTTCGCCAACATGTGTTATTGTCTACGACATAGAAACTGGTTACGTTTAATTGTCAGATTATAAGACGATAAATCAAGTTGCGGAAACAATGGTTATTGAGTGAATATTGGCGTGAACTGTAAATATTTCTTTATATATCGATTATATGTATTCTACCATAAGGAAAATAGTCAAGTGTCTGCCTCCGTGATTCGCATTCAACGTAACATCTAATGAAAGTGACGCTTGTCGTCGACGTAGCACAACGTTAATTACAATATACACATAAACGTCTGTCCACATATGATATATTAATTACAAAATACACAAATACGCGGATTCCAATAACATAGGCTTAATAATGATATATACAAAAATGTCCATCCCCATATATAACAGATTAGATAAATTGCATAATACACAAATACGCGAATTCCAATAACATACGGTTATTTGCAATATATACAAACACGTCTATCTGCATATGATAGATGGATTATAGAATATAAAACACATATATACCGGTATGATATAGGGTCTAACAATAAACACAAACACGCCAGTTCCGACATGAAAAAGTCTTTTAAATGCATTCAAAAGAGTTACTTACGTCAGCAAATACGTTTTTCATTTCGTTCATGTCAATCTTACCGTCCCCATTGAGGTCATGTTTCTTCAAAACCTTTGCATCCGGAACGACAGGTCACATGGTAATATAAAGAAAAGTAACAAAGCGATCAATATCCAGAAAGATAATACATCTTTACGGTTCATCTAACAAATGTTCACAACTAACGAAATACATTTTAACAATAAAAAGTCACGAACGGCTTTCCCTGATATTTGCTGGTATTTTGCGGTAAATTATAACAAAACAAAATACGACAGAAGGAATGAGTGGACAATAAAAAGGGCAACAAAATGAGAGAAACTTTAACAATAATCTTGAATTTTAAGACGTTGCTTTTCCATTGAGTTAAATAGCGAGGTGACTATTAGTATCATAATGAAGGTTAATGTCGTAGAGTTTGGTAGTTATGTAATAATGTCGAAGACCTTTGTCGTGAGGTGACAATTATTTTCATGTTGCACAATGTAGGTTACTGTCATCGAGTTAAGGTTAAAATTACTATGGTTTTAAATTGATACAAGTGCCGAACTGTTTGGTAGTGAGGCGAGTCCGAATAAGACGATTATTGTCGTCAAGTAGGTAAATTTTATTGAATTTTGTAGTAAGGTGGATACTGTTGCAATAGTATAGGTAACTGCCCCAGAATTTGGTGTTGAGGTGAATATTATTATTACTATATTACATGTATAGGTATTTGCCATAGAGGTTGGTATTGAGTTCAATATTGTTACTATAGGTAACTACCACATATTTTGGTAGTAAGGTGATTGTTATTGCAATATTGTAGGTAGCTACCACAGCCTTGGTGTTGAGGTTGCTGGTATTCAAATACTTCAAGCAACTGTTAGTGAATCAGGAGAAACAGAGTATTTCTAATGATTAGTGTAGAAGGATGAATAAGATGCCAGTGGTTCTAGATTTTTCATTCAAGTACAAATCATTAGCAGCATATCTGGAAACGAAATTAAAGGATGGAGCAAGTATGCTAATGAAAATAAGCCTGTCTCGAATTCATCCTCAGCAGCAGATCGGTAACGGGTGGTGCAATGCTAGTTCCCATTGTTGGAATACATATATTGATATTCTATGAAACAATGATCCAACTTTAACTGAAACTGCTTCCGATAGGAGCATCAAGCAAGTCATGATCACCAAGAAAAGACTTCACTGCTTCAACTGCTTCACGTTCCAGTGATATATGTCTTGATTCATATTTATCGCGTTTCGCATATACTACCCGGAAGTAGACACACACACAAAAGAGTTCCGTTGCAACGGAAGACAACTAATGTTTTCGAGCTGGTCTATATACGATACTACCTGTCAAGATCAATGAATACCGATTACCCGATGTAATACACGACGGTATGTCGAGACAATGTGCTGAACTAAGATTGTCGGGACGACTTTCGAAAACTGTACCTTTATAAACTCGTCCACGGCCTTGATAATAATTTCTTGTATTTTTTCTCTCCGGATCGTCTTCCTCAAGTCTTCTCTACAACACATGAATCAGACAATCTGTACATGTCCTGACTTACAATATATAACGTATTGTAATAAAGTGTACATCATTTATTTAGTCATCAGCCTCGACTAGAGACAGTACGATTTTAACAATTTCATTCATCCAAAACTATTTCAATTTTGATGTTAACGTATTATTGACTTAAAGACAATTTTAACAAACAAAAATATAAAGCGCTGGCATGTATATCTAGTCCAGCTCCTATATATACAGATGAATCTTTCGACGCAACCAGGTGTCGAGATTCAGGATTTTTTATACATTTTTTCTGTAAGTACACGTATATATAAGAAGTTTATTTTGTTTACTTAGCGAGCTTGGAGTCTGGTATTGGCGTGTCCGTGATTCCAAACTCCTCTTTCGTCCTATCCTCAAGGTAGTACTTGAATAAGTCTGGTCCTTCATCAGACGTCTACAACATACATTACTACTTATTACAGTTTGACATTGGTGAGAAAACTTCGTATTTCCTTCCATTTAAAAAACATTAAAGTTCAGATGCGTGGAAGAAGCTTCTCCTCAAACATTATTTCTACAACGGCATAACCACTGGTAGATAGAAAGACCATTAGTTCTACAGCGAACCCACTATGAACAGGAAGTCGACGACGCCCATCACACAAAATACCTGGTTATTACCGAATTAACTAATGTAAAATAGTTGTATGATAACATCAGTCACCATAAAATTTTATAAACACCCTATTTAGCACAAAGATATGGCACATTTAACCGATTTCTTAGATTGATACGTATCAATGTTAATTATGTGTTAACCTTAAACTATCTTTATCATTATTATCATTTTGGTACCAAACACAGTAATTCGTAATTGTTCTTCCACATCTCGGAATACAAAAACGTTCATAGCACAAACTATTACTTTCGACTCTTTCTGTGTGCTCACGATAGGGGATTGTTTTTTCGACGAAGCCTAAAAGCACTGCATGATAAACTGATAAGAATGCATATATTACTATTTTGTACAGCTAGCATATCACTTTAAGTGGATTTAAGCCCACAAGGCACCTCAATTCAAACCGTCTACGAGATCTGTCGCTAATAAAGGTATTCAGGAATTTGCAAGGAGAAATACCACGAACTTTCACATTTATCGAAGATCATTTCAAACAATTGTTGTTGTTATTAGATGCCATATGTGTAAAGGACTTATGGCGTTATGGGCTATTTTTGGCCTCATAACAAAATTTCAACTTGAATATATTTGCCAATTTCTGGTATAAACATCATATAGGTTAATTGGATCCATTTTCCTTTGTGTAAATTGTTTTCCAATGCACATACGTAGATGCCCTACCATAACAACGAAACTACGTTGGTTGTAGAAATAGCCAAAATATGGTGTTTTTGAACAGTTAGCATGTAGAAATGAAAGCCTCCGCATGTGACAGACAAAAAGTGATTTCTTCGAATGAACAGTAGTTTAACAATGTTTAATCATGTCAAATATTTATTTGTTTGTTACATGCGGAGGCTTTCGAAAATTGAAGAGTGTTTAGTTAATTTCCTTCAAAATGGCCAATTTTCAACCAAATAGCAAACAGCAGACGATATTCACGCATTTATGATGAAAATGCGCGTTTATGTCTCTCTTTGTAAAGCCATATCCGCTAAACCAGTTGTCAAATGAATTTGAAATTTCATATATGCATACTTCATTTATTCCAGATGACAAATATAACAACTTATCATAAATCCCCGATGAGGGCGGAAAGGACCATTAGCGCCCCTGGTCCTTTGCGTTTAAAACTGTGTTGCCTAGCTTAAATATATTTTGTGTTTGCGTGATAACAAATCAATATTATAACAAGGGCTTTCCTGAGCAAAGTGCTTCTAACAGGATAGTGTTGATCCGCGTCAGCCATTGAGAGTTTTATCAACTGTTGGATTTTGAATAAAGATGTGAACATAACAAAAGTACGATAGACGGTTATGGATATTTTCTTTTGCTTTAAATCGCTGTCACTTTCAATGACACAGACATTTCTTTTTGTCTTCGGATGTGTGGGTGTGACCTTTAAATCGAGTCTATGTCGGGACCAGTGTTTACGTGGCGTTACTTAACACCTACTGACATTCTACTTTGAGAATATCATTCCCAAGAGGGAAAACACATTCGTGCACAGTTTCTTCTAAAGTATGACAATCCGTGATAACGCTTTAGTCCGATCCTTCGGGAGAAGTGTCGATGTCGTATCATGTGTCCTCAAGTTCAGCCATTAAATTTTTCCAATTCTACAGTGCGCAACGTAATTCTAAAACGTTCTTCAAATAACAAATTTGTTTACGTTTTCTTGATTAGAAAATGATGCATTATTTATCACAGATCTGTGTATTACGGTGACTGTCATACATTAATGACGTCCTAAATATGTGTATTTTTTTCAGTATGACGTCATAATAAAAATCGTAAATGGGGAAAGTGATATGCACTGTTATGATTATATATGACTTGGGTATATTTAGGACATGCACAATATGACATCGTAGTCTTGAATTCTCTGCGGTTATCTTCAGATAGTCAAACGACATTAAAATGTTTCCACGTAGCCCCCAAACACGAAACGAAATGATCGTGACGATTATTAGCTAGAACTATAGCGATTGACAGATTTTCTGTTTACCTAGTGATGTACCGATACTATGTAGAATAATTGCTTTAGGACACTTTCAACATGGGTTATAAGTTATAAGGTCTTTTTATGCTTTTGCAGCGGAACGTGGCTTTGTCAATCGTTGGCGACCAGGTACCTACAGTATATTGGTAGAGTATCCGTCTAGAGTTTTTAAAGTATCCCAGGTTCGAACCCCGGTATTGCCATTTATTTCTCTTTTAATATGATATCACCTAATACAAAGCATATATAGATTGAAACAGAAGTATGCTTAACCTTATACTTGAGCATCCTCGATATCCATGGGTTAAGCTCACCTTCGCTCTCTCCACCCCTGGAATATGTCATAGCAAAAGTGAAGGTTCATTGAGCGACGTCTTGTGGATGAGACGAGAAGGCTAATTTGTTATTTCTCGCGGTCGTTTAACGGTAAAACTAATTGGCTGTGAAGTCGGGTGCACTCCTCTGTTATTTTCAAAGGACAAGTATCAGTCTAGTGATTTGTCAGTCTTTTTTACCTGACACGAATCAAATAGATAGCTGCGTGCCTTCAATTTTGCTATGACATATTCCAGGGGTACAGAGAGCGAAAGTAAGCGTAACCCCTGGATATCGAGGATGATACTTGAGATAAAACGTGTAAACCTCGTTTCCCTATAAAATGTTGTGTACAGACTGGTCTACTGGTCAGGTAGCTCTAGTTTATTACTAATGTAATTCCGGAATATTGGTACGGTATCCGGCTTTGTTTTTAATTCCGGATCTCCTGACCGGAGACCAGCTTCTTTTGTCAATTTTATTAGTTGCGATTTTGTTGTTTCCGGTAAATAAAGCGGAGCGGAGGGAAACACATGATCATCGTACGAATAAACGCATCACCATCACAGCCGGCGAGTTCCCCAAACTCAAAACGTTGACCCAACAAAAATAGGAAAAATGTCACAATATTAGCTTGTCTGCAAACTCTTTGGTGTGATTAATGTAACGTCACTGCAAAAATCAACGAAGTCTTTCTGAATATTAAACTAACACAAAGGTGTTCTCGATACACTTTTAATGTCGGGGGGGGGGGG